AATATGCTGACATGCTCCTAGCTCAATGGTCTAGTGTCTCACAAATTTCTTCCTTACCCCCAGATATACAGCAGCATTTAAGACATACCAACATTAACAGAAACTTTAATATTGAAATAGCACGCTCCTCACCAGATTTAACGGATCAGTTTCCTATAACCCCCTTTGAATTAACATCAGCATTAGGAAAACCTAAGCAAACTGCCCCTGGTGAGGATGGTATAACTTATAACATCTTGAGCTTACTGAATGATGTCCCTAGCCACCCTCTGCTTGACCTCTATCAAATGAGTCTCTCACAAGGTATCTTGCCAAAGAAATGGACACAAAGTCTCATAATACCAATTCCTAAACCTAACTCTCAAAAATTCAGACCCATTTCCCTTACATCTTGCATGTGTAAAGTCTTGGAGAGAATTGTTCTCAATCGTGTCATGTTTCAGGTCAAAGAAAAACTGGCCCCAAACCTATATGGGTTCATGCCCAAGTGTAGCACACAAACATGCTTTGCTGAATACTTTGTAAACTCCCAGGATGGAACACAGGCAGCCTTTATTGACCTAAAGTCAGCTTTCGATGTAGCGAATGGCGAAATAATATTAGAGCAACTTGCTGAATTTGGAATCAAAGGTAATCTTCTGAGTTGGATAAAGAGCTACCTATCCAACAGGCGTGCTAGTGTCCTATTTAAAGGAGTTAAAAGTACAAGAACAGATGCATTCGAACTAGGCACACCTCAAGGCGGTGTCCTAAGCCCTATGCTCTTCAATATACTTATGCACAAACTTATCTATGACATACCTGTACAACCTACGGAAACAGTTATATGTTATGCTGATGACATTTGTATTATGGCACACAGTAAACCAAGGCTACAAATGTTACTTGATGCATTCTCCAAGAAAGTAGTAGAATGTGGCCTCATAATCTCTGTTGATAAAACAAGGGTTCTTATTCCCCATTCTCTTCATGCTAACTATACTATTAATGGAGTGCCCGTGGAGACTTGTGAGTCTTATAAATATCTTGGAGTCGAGGTTAATGATACAAATCTCATCAGCAACCTGCGTAAAAAACTTGTTGAGCGTCTTAAACCTCTCAGAACTCTTGTTGGCAAAGGATTTGGCATTAACATAAAATATGCTCGTAGTTTTTATATTGCCTTTATACGATCTGTTGTTGATTATTATGCCTTGCATCTTCTTAATTTTTCTCCTAAACAATTACAAGGCCTAGATGTAGTACAGAATGATGCCATGCGCATCATCCTGGGTTGTCCTAGAACTGTCAGAATTGTTAACATGAGAAAGGAACTAAACTTACCTTCCATTTACGAAAGAATAGTTCTACTTAGTACTATGTTTTGCGCCAAAACTTTGAAAAATAATGGTCCCCCCAGCTCTATTCAAATTAAATTGAGATCCATTCTAAACAATTCTGACTGTTCCCTCAATCCGCCGCAAAAAGCTCCCTACAGTGTGTGGCTCAGTTGTTGTGTCTATAATCTTCAGAAACTGAATGTATCTCTTAACCCTGATAAAACTGTTCACTATATTCCCCCTTGGAAAGATGTGGAGGTCTCTCTGCATTATACTCCCATCAGTGTAAAACAAATGTATAACACTGACATTTTGAGATGTATAACATTAGAAGCTATTGACAGTCATCTTCAAATTCTCAAACCGACTGAATCCTATGCCTTTACTGATGGCTCTGTGCAGTTAGGCACTGGTAGAACAGGTTGTGCATGTGCAGTGTATAAAGGGAATGAAATGATCATGACTAGTACACAGAGATTGAACAACTGGGCAAGCACGACACAGACCGAGCTATTGGGTATTTATCTAGCCACTGAATACCTTAAGCTCAATGGTGGTGGAGTTATTTTCTGTGACTCTAAAAGTGCTCTGCAGTCCTTAAATAACCCATCACAATGTATGTCGGAAGTAGCTTGTAATATTAAATGGAATGTAATTTTTGCCAATGATAATAATTCTTGTATAAAATTTGTGTGGATCCCATCCCATGTTGGAGTTGAAAAACATGACTTTGTAGATCAATTGGCCAATGAGGCTTGCAGGAAAGAAAACATTGATTATGATTTTGGACTATCTAATGCAGTTATTAGAAACATACAAATTAAAGAAATTAATTCAGATTTAGAAGAACTAAGAAATGCACAGAGACCTGAAAGCTGCAGTATTAAAAGTTATGACAAGTTCTGTAATAATAGGTATTTGTATGGTCAGCACAGTAACCGGACCAGGCAATGTGATGTAGTAATCGCGCGAATTCGCCTTGGCTATAGACACATCTGGCAGGTTAGTGAGGCTGAGCCACTACCAGAATATTCAGATTGTAAAATCTGTGATAAACCTTTAATGCATTCACTAGAACACTATATTGATGAATGTGAAACCGTAAAGGACTTTAGACCTCCTGGCCTATTGTACCACCAACTGTGTAACTATTTTATTGACTCAGGTGTTCTTGACGACATCCTAACAATTTACCCAAAATTTGCTTGTCCATTTTAAAGAATGAAGAACAATTTCTACTTATATTCTAAGCTGTATCACTTATGAACCCATCCCTGCACTTGTGTGGCAGTGCACAATAGAAAGTTGTTTTCACATATCCACACATTAAAACATTGATTGTAACCGTGATATATATGTGCTTCAGCCTACAGTTTAGGCCTATTGTCTTATGTATGACCCTCTGTCCTGCGTGACAGTGAATACTAGCATTAACCTCAATTTAATAAGACTATCAAAATCCTCAGATTAGGCAAAATTGTAATTAATTTTGTCAATAAAGATGTTAATAATAATAATAACTCCCGCTCCGTTTCTGTCTTCACCGATGGGTCTAAGTCTGCGGATGGTGTTGGCTACTCTGTTGTTTTTCCTGATCGCACTTATATGTGTCGCTTACCTCCGGAGACTAGCATCTTTACAGCAGAGCTTTATGCTATTCTCTATGCTCTTCGTCTCCTGCTTTCTCGTTGTCAGTCTTCCTTTGTAGTTGTTGTTGACTCTCGTAGTGCCCTCATGGCTCTCGGGTCCTTTAATCCGGTTCATCCAGTAGTTGTCGAGATCCAGCATTGGCTGTTTCTTGTTCACAGTAAATTTAAGTCGGTTGAGTTTTGTTGGGTTCCCAGCCATATTGGTGTGTCTTTAAATGAGCGTGCGGATGCTGCCGCCAAGGAAGCTGTCCGCTCTTGTCCCATCTTTCGTAAAGGTATTCCATATTCCGACTTTTACCCGGTTATCCATTCCTCCGTCCTTACCCGTTGGCAGGCTTCTTGGTCGTCTGTTACTGGTAACAAGCTACGTACTCTTAAATGTTGTGTTTCCTCGTGGCCGTCCTCCTACCACCGTAACCGGCGTTGGGAAACGGCTCTGGCGAGGTTGCGTATTGGCCATACTCGCTTAACCCATGGTCACTTGATGGAGCGCCGCCCTGCTCCTTATTGTCCTAGTTGCATTGTCCCTCTTACGGTCGTGCATGTCCTTCTTGAATGTCCTGACTTCCAGGACGAGCGTTTGTCTTGCTTTCCGACCGCCCCTCGCGGTCACCTATCCCTCAATAGAATTCTTGGTGACTTGGATACTTTTGATATCGTTCGCCTTATGCATTTTTGTTCCCGTATTGGCATCCTTGGTGATATTTAGCGCCCTCTGATTATTCTGCACATTTGATGGTGCTACATAGCCTTCCCGGTTTGGTGCCTCCTTTTGATAATTACTTAATAAATCATAAAACTTTCAAATATTCGATTTGTTCATGCCTCCTACAATGTATTGTTATATATACTGAAACTTGCACTTAAAATTTAGAATCCCTCTACCAGGAGTTAAAATTTAAGAAATACTAAATATCTAGATCTAAATACACCTTAGCACTCATGTACGCATAAGGTAAATTTCCCGTAGCCTACCGACTACCACCGGTGGTAGTCGACAGCCTACTAGCCTGTCGACAGCCTACTAGCCTGTCGACAGCCTACTAGCCTGTCGACAGCCTACTAGCCTGTCGACAGCCTACTAGCCTGTCGCCTACCACCCAGACCACAGTTACTGAGCTCTCAACAACCCTCTGACCAACCCCAAAGCTGTATTTTACATCTTAAATATAGTTCATGACTACCGAGGAGTGATAGGGACACCTCTCAGTCTGTATAACCTAATATTTTTAGAATAGGTTTATACGAAGGTAAATACTGCTCACTCAAGGGTGCATTACCTTGGGAAAAGAAAATAAATGTGTCGGGGGGTGAAGAAAGTGCTTCATACACTGTTGATGAGAGACTGATGATCAAAGGGAGAGGGGGATCTATTCCACAAGATGGCTGGTGAATGGCGACCCATTAACTGCTTGCTAATGATTAGACAGGCAGAATGCAACCTTGGTCATTCCGGCTAATAGGCTGGCCATCATGGTTCCATCTCGGGAAGCCTCCTCTCCTCCTCTCTCTCTCTACCTATATATGACTCCTTTCCCTCTTGTACGTCACCTGTGCCCAGCATATATGTCCAGGGGCCAGATTCACTTGGAAGTTACGCAAGCACTTGCGCACCTGTACATCTTTTCTCAATCTTTGGCGGCTTTGTTTACAATTTTTAAACAGTTAATGAGCTCCGAAGCACCAGGAGGCTGTTTATAACAATAACAACAGTTGATTGACAAGTTTTCATGCTTATAAACTGTTTAATAAATGTTACCAAAGCCGTCAAAGATTGAGGAAAGATGTACACGATCGTAAGTACTTGCGTAACTGCTTCGTGAATCTGGGATCAGGACACTGGATGCAGAAGCTGTATGTTAGAGTACCAAGCAGTAACAGAGAATGTAGTATTAAACAGTAACTACCATATTAACATTGTGAAGACTTAATTCGTCGTGAATGGTTTTTAATTATATTTTTCGTAATACTTTTTTTTTAATGTATGGGTAAAACATTTGCACTCGCAAGTGAGAAGTTAAGTGGTACTTACTAGTTAAGTGTGGAGGGTTGATGAGGGAGAAGAGGTTGAGCGGCCAGGGACACCATCTGTCCCTCCGGCTGGTGCTGCCAGCGACGTACCGCCACAGATCCGCTCAGATCCTCAGGCGGCTGGTGCTGCCAGCGATGTACCGCCACAGATCCGCTCAGATCCTCAGGCGGCTGGTGCTGCCAGCGACGTACCGCCACAGATCCGCTCAGATCCTCAGGCGGCTGGTGCTGCCAGCGACGTACCGCCACAGATCCGCTCAGATCCTCAGGCGGCTGGTGTTGCCAGCAACGTACCGCCACAGATCCGCTCAGATCCTCAGGTGGCTGGTGCTGCCAGCGACGTACCGCCACAGATCCGCTCAGATCCTCAGGCGGCTGGTGCTGCCAGCGACGTACCGCCACAGATCCGCTCAGATCCTCAGGCGGCTGGTGCTGCCAGCGACGTACCGCCACAGATCCGCTCAGATCCTCAGGCGGCTGGTGCTGCCAGCGATGTACCGCCACAGATCCGCTCAGATCCTCAGGCGGCTGGTGCTGCCAGCGATGTACCGCCACAGATCCGCTCAGATCCTCAGGCGGCCAGGCACGCACGATCCACACGGCCTCAAGCACCCACACGGTGATACTATGAAGATCCTGCTCCAATCTGCGCTAGTCGTTAGTCACATCGTAAACTGATGGCAGTGTGTGGGGGAGTGCGCTAGGCTGCGGACGTCCACCGAGTCACTCACATTGTAAACTGCTCAGACTGTTTTCAAGATGTTTTGCCGAAAACCTTCAACATCGCTCACGACAACACACACTAAACTTCATAGTTTCTGCCCGAACTTCCGCACTGATTTTTCCAAGATTCTGACCGTAATTTTCAAACACTTAACCGTTCACAGATTTCAAATTTTGGATATTTTTGACTAGTTAAAAAAAAAAATAAGCGACAGTAGCCATGGGCTGGATGGACCGGAGTATTATAGGAGGGGTTTGTAAAACACGGTATGGACACCTCACGCCACTCCACCTTCAGCTGTCTGTGTCAACTGCTTTTATTAGCATCCTTTGTATTAATTTGGCGTATAATCTTGGCGTTTCCGGTCAATTGAAATCTATTTTCAGTGTAGTGTGTGTGAAGAATTAAGGTTTTAGGACTATAGGTTTTCGTACTCTGCGGGCGGATACATGGACACACTTTTATAGTATTGTATCTGTGCAATATAGTCCAGGGATATTGATCATATTGGTAGAACGTGCATTGCTTCTCTCTCTCTCTCTCTCTCTCTCTCTCTCTCTCTCTCTCTCTCTCTCTCTCTCTCTCTCTCTCTCTCAGAACATAAGAATTAAGGAAACCGCAGAAGGCCAAGTGACCCATATTCTCTTTTACTCCCTCCTTCTCCACATATATACAGGTGGTTAATCATCTCGTGACATTTCAGGTGTGGGCGGGAAGCCAACATCCACCCACAGCGAGGTGAGGTAGCCACCCACGGCGGAGGTGCCACCCATCGGAGCGGGAAACCACCCTTGGGGGCGTGGAACCGCCCACAGGACTTGGGAGCCAGCCACCCATGGGGAGGACGGTAAGACACCCACGGATGCAATATATGTTTACAGACATGCTCACTGTGTTCAAGTTAAACGACAACCTAAACGAATACTTTTTAAATAAATAGAAATAATACACACACTCCTCTCTCTCTCTCTCTCTCTCTCTCTCTCTCTCTCTCTCTCTCTCTCTCTCTCTCTCTCTCTCTCTCTAAGAGCACAATAATTAAAGAAACCGCAGGCTATTGACCTACACGAGATATCTTATATTTATACCCATCCAAACTCACTCATATATATATATATATATATATATATATATATATATATATATATATATATATATATATATATATATATATATATATATATATATATATATATATATATATATATATATAATATGCCTAACTTGCACCTGAGACAATTCAGCGATCCCTCATCCATTAAACCACTCGGTAAGTTGTTCCATAATTCAGCAAACCTATTTTCAAACTAGTACTGTATTTACCCAGGTCTTTCCGGAATCTAAACTTATCCAATTTCTATTCCTTATTTATATCTCTTTTGTTACACCCACTCGTCCATTTGTTGACTTCAATCGTGTCATCTCAGACTCTTCGTCTTTCTGGGGAATGTAAATTATACTTTGTTAATCTCTCTCTCTTCATAGGAGAGGTTTGTTATTTTAGGATCACCTTCGTCATCGTTCAGGTGGATTATGACCTTTCTATAGTGTGGCGACCACAACTGTACTGCGTAATGTAAGTGCTGAGCTCTGGCTCTTTGGTCCCGCCTCTCAACTGTCAATCAACTGGTGTACAGGTTCCTGAGCCTACTGGGCTCTATCATATCTACATTTGAAACTGTGTATGGAGTCAGCCTCCACCACATCACTTCCTAGTGCCATTGTTAACTACTCTGACACTGAAAAAAATTATTTCAAGCGTCTCTGTGGCTCATTTGGGTACTCAGTTTTTCCGTGTCTCCTTGTTCGTGTCCCACCCGTGCTAAAGAGTTTGTCTTTGTCCACCCTGTCAATTCCCCTGAGAATTTTGTAGGTGGTTATCATGTCTTCCCTTACTCTTCTGTTTTCCAGGGATGTGAGGTTCAGATAATTTAGCCTTTCCTCGTAGCTCCTAACGAGGATATGTTAGGTAATATGTTGATGGTTTGTGATTAATTATAATATATATATATATATATATATATATATATATATATATATATATATATATATATATATATATATATATATATATATATATATACACACGAAGAAGCTTATACAGGGTGGACAGCACTTCGGATTCGTAGTCCTGAGGTTCCGGGTTCGATCCCCGGTGGAGGCGGAGACAAATGGGCAAAATGTTTCTATCACCCTGATGCCCTTGTTACCTAGCAGTATATAGGTGCCTGGGAGTTAGACAGCTGTTACAGGCTGCTTCCTGGGGGGTGGAGGCATGGTCGAGGACCGGGCCGCGGGGACACTAAGCCCGGAAATCGTCTCAAGATAACTAAAGTTTGTATAGTTAAATGGTCCCCAAGCCAATATGAAACTGAAAACTCCTCATCCTTGAAGGATTCGAACCCAGACAGCCAGGGCTCCATGCATCTTAGCGTATCCACTACTATGTCTGTAGACCAGACTGTATAAAACGGTTGGACGTGGTCAGACCCTTAACCCAACCCCCGACAGGACTCGGTGGGTAATTTTAGGGCGCAGATATTTCATTGAATCACCTCGCATGTTGGCGCCTCGTGAGTAACACAAACACGAAGACGCTTCAATGGTCCCCAAGCTAATTGGATCAAAAAGACACCTTTTGTTCAGTCAGTGTGGTACAAAACTATATAAATATATTTGGGGATATATATATAAACTGAAAACTCACACCCCAGAATATCGATACGCCAAGGTGCATAGTGCTCCTGGCTCTCTGGGTTCGAATCCTTCTGGGGTGTGGAGTTTTCAGTTGCATATTGACTTTTTTTTTTTTTTTTTTTTTTGAGATATATACAAGAGTTGTTACATTCTTGTACAGCCACTAGTACGCGTAGCGTTTCGGGCAAGTCCTTAATCCTATGGTCCCTGGAATACGATCCCCTGCCGCGAAGAATCGTTTTTTCATCCAAGTACACATTTTACTGTTGCGTTAAACAGAGGCTACAGTTAAGGAATTGCGCCCAGTAAATCCTCCCCGGCCAGGATACGAACCCATGACAGCGCTCGCGGAACGCCAGGCGAGTGTCTTACCACTACACCACAGAGACTGTAAATGATCTCTGCCCAAGTTGACTACCGAGCGATGTTGGGTAAATATTGATTTATTTATTTATTTATTTATTTATTTATTTATTTATTTATTTATTTATTTATTTATTTATATACAAGAAGGTACATTGGGTTTGTGAGAATACATTGGATAGTACAGTATTTACATTCTTGTAAAGCCACTAGTACGCGCAGCGTTTCGGGCAGGTCCTTAATCTAGCAGATAATTTTAAGTAGGTAATTTCAATCAGAATTGATAAATGATAAAGATACATTACAAGAGAAAAATGAGATGAGAGAGATAAGTAGGTATATTAAAGCACATTGTTATATTAAAGCTCTGATTGATTACATTGACAGCTTGATTAGTTATTTAAACAAGGTTAATAGACACCATACAGCAGATTGACAGCACATATAAGACAGCAATGATCACAATGGTAAAGATGTTCAGATTGGGTACATAAAGATTGGGAGACTGGGTAGCAATAGATACAGTGCAATTTTAAGGCAAAAAGTGAAAAACTATGAAGATGAAATTAGGTACTTTTTAGTATTGATTTTGAATGATGTAAAAGTTGGACAGCTTTTCAATTCAGTAGGGAGTGAGTTCCATAAACTGGGTCCCTTTATTTGCATAGAGTGTTTACACAGATTAAGTTTAACTCTGGGGATATCAAAGAGATATTTATTTCTGGTGTGGTGATAATGGGTCCTATTACATCTGTCCAGGAAGAGTTTCAGACAAGGATTTGCATTTAAGAACAGGGTTTTGTAAATGTAGTTGACACAAGAGAATTTGTGGAGTGAGATTATGTTTAGCATGTTTAGGGAGTTAAACAAGGGGGCTGTGTGTTGTCTGAAAGCAGAATTTGATATTATTCTGATAGCAGATTTTTGCTGGGTGATGATGGACTTGAGGTGGTTTGCAGTTGATATAAATAGATAACCCAGGATGCAATCCCACAACAGTTGTCCAACTCCCGGGCACTGCTAGGTAAAAGGAAACGTGCCCAACCACTTCTGTCCCGCCCGGGATTTGTATGCTTCAGTTATATATTACCCTTCCTTTACACACACAGTTCGCCTTGCAAGAGAATGTCAATTAAGCATTCTTGATCTGTCTTTATAATGGAAGTGGCTGACTCCTTGCATTAACTCTGCCATCTTCTTTCACATGCTCCAGGCTCCACTCTGAGCCCCGGACCGTGTGAA